AGTGCTCTGAACATCTCTTGTGCCACAGAGTAACTACAGAGCTCTTAATTTCTACGTCTATAAAGTAAGAACGATGAGATTTACCCATGTCATGGATTGTGATCATGAATTGATGTCTAAATTGCTTTGAGTTTTTAAAATACTGTTTTATCTTTCTATAAAAGCTGGGAAAGGGGGCGTGGTGATATGGTATAACCTGCTGCAGTGGCATAGCACCGCAAGTAACGAGGTATATACTGGAGGAGTGTAGTATCTGCAGTGGTCCCCATGCAGCAAGTGGCTAGTTGTATCTTAGGAGCAAGAACAACCTGGCCTGCGTATTCTTTGGCTGTCAAAGCCATAACAGTAGGTTATGAGCTGCAACTTCGCTTTAAGGTTAAGGGCTAGACCTTGCAAATCCCTGTCCTTAAAATAATGGAAAACAGCACTGTAAAACCCAGCATCTGGAAGCTAGATATTTCCAAGTGGAGGGAGAGCTGCAGCCCTTCTGTGATAGGGACTGGATGTCAGAGCACGGAGGATCATCGCTGGGAATCTTACAGGTGGGACTGGATGTCTCTTAAAAACCTCTGCCCTATGTCAGCCATCAGAATCGGCTTGTGGTTGGGCTTTTGCTGTGAAAGTGAGTGGAGGAGGTCAGTATTTCACAGGCTGTCATCTGTAAAAGGTCCCTTTGGCGGAGGGGAAGGTGTGGTCAGAGACAGCAGAGGGTAGGCTGAGGTCCTCGTCCCTTCCTTTGAGCGGTCTTCAGATCCACCTTGAAAAATCCTCCAGCTCTTACAAACGGGTAGCTGTGGGGAGACACTGTAAAAATGGAAATCAGCATCTGCTCATTGCACAGAGGAGAAAGGTTGTGGCTGTCGGTGCAGCGCCATAAATGAGTCACTGGGTCGGGCCCGCATCCTCCTGAGCTTACCTTTGAAGTGGCCTGGGCAGAGTTGGTCATGCTTTTTGAGAGCCCTGAGCTTTACCTGCTGACCTGCCCTGATGACAACTGTTTCTGTCGTTCTTGAGGGACAGTCCAGAAGGGTTGTGGGTGTTAATGGAACAACCAGGTTCGTACAATGGACCTGCAAAGAGCGGACAGAGAAATGCCTTGTGACTGTTCAGGGCACGGGCCAGTCTTTCTTGAGAGCTCTGGGTTCAACTTGTTGAAGTTGCTTGAATCCTCCTAGCACTAGTGCCCAGTGAGGTCTGTGGTGGGACTGGGGAATAGCGTCATCCTCAGAAAGAGGAATTGGGGATTTGGCACCGACTTTTGCACATTGTGGAGCTGCTTTGTGCATTAGACAGCGCTCTGGAGAGCTTGCTTCTGGTTGTCATGGGTGGTGGTGGCAACAACCCGTAAGGACACAAGACTTGGGGGGGACTGTGAAGTCCTGGGGGAGTTTCCTTTCCCCTGGACCAGACTTCCCTGTGCAGACTTGTTGCTTGTCTGCTGGATATTTCTTCAGCCTTGCAGTCCTGAGTGCTGGGGAGCAAACCAGCTTGGTGGGGAGCCAGGAGGCTGCCTCAGCACCTGCAGCTCTACATGCTGGAGGTTTTATGTTTTCAACACTTTGTTAGGGCCAGGAGCAGCCCTTGGCTCTGTGTGTCTTGCAGGAGCAAAAGGTCCTCTTGCTACAGGGCTTCTCTTTGAACTTGCTGCAGTGGCAGAGTGATATTTCATCCTCCACGTGGTCTCTAAAGAGAGCAGGGCTGTTGCTGAGGTCCTGCTCTCGGATCTATGTGGGCAAGGTTCCATAAGTTTTATTGCTTCGCTGCGATGGGCAGAAGCAGGGCCAGGTCTTCTCAGTAACCTCTGAGCTTCCAATCTGAGCATCCACACCCAGCATCTCTGGGCTTGTGTGCACACACACCCCTCTGTAGTGCTGGGGACAGCCAAAAAACATGGGAGATCCTCTGTGAAAATGGCCAAGAAGGGCGGGGTACTCATTTTAAATTAATTGTAAGTTGAACATTATTTTTCTGCATAGTGGAAAGTACAGTCATCAGCTCCTTCTAGCATTAATCATAGATGTGCTTTAAGGAAAGTTGTTATCTCTTCGTCTGTGCTGTGTTAGCAGCTGGAAGTCCCCAGCCCTGGCTCTGCGAGGAGTTACCCTGACACAGGAGAAGACAGCTCTTGTTCTGGAGAGCTAATAAAGCAAAAAAGCAAATAGGAGGTGGGTATGAGTGATGGGAAACTGAGGTTCTGCTTAACAAACCGGAGGCTGCTCCTCAAAGAGGGGTGGGAGAGCACAGGCGCGGAGGAGAGGTTCGTTGGGACTGGCCCGCGCTTGTGTCGCGTAATGGATAGTTGTACGTGTCCGTGCTCCAGCTGCTTTCCCGCACTCCAGCTCCGCAGGGATGATCGCACACGCCCAGCACTTTAATGTCTGAATGCGAGTGGATGGGACCATGGTGTGACGGCTGCACGTGGGATGAAGAGCGCATCTTGCTTTTCAGTCTCCCAGCAGATTGTGCGTGCGCACAGACAGCGGGCCCGGCTTAAACCCAAATAATCCCCCAGGGTGTCTGGGCAGGGGGATAATGTAAAAGGAATGCAGGGAGGGTAATTGAAAGAGAAAATAAGCATCCTTGGTAAAACTCCTGCTCCGGTCCCCAGCGTGCAGTTGCATTGCCCTCTCCTCTGCGCGCAGGCTCTTCTCCCTCCCTCCCTGGGAAGGGCAGGCGCTTTTCGCTGCCCGTACTTGTCATGCCAGTCACACACATGCTGGTGCACAGACTAACACCCTCAACAATAAATCTAAAAGATTAATTACAAAAAAAAAAAAAAATCCCACAACTCCACTTGCGGCATTTGAAATGCGTCTCAACCGTGCTCCGCTTGGGTTATTCATGGGGAAAAGAAATAACCTCCTGAATCGAGCAATTGGGAATGCAAATATCCCAGCCTGGCTCAAAAGAGGAATCAAGCTCTGTACGGTCAAGCTGATTAGCATCCCCTTAGGTGGGGTGCAGCCCGGAGAGAAAATTTTGGGAAAACTGTGCTTAATGCTCTGGGGTGAGGTTTCTAAATTTTGCCCCAAAAGAAATTATGGTATTGCTGCTCCCTGTATGATGAGGGACCATAAGATAAGTTTTCTTGTTCTCTTCATGGTGACTGCCCTTCCTCTGCTGAGATCTTTCAGTCTTTTGTTTCCTGCCACTGACCAGCTGGTTTTTGTGAGTTGAGGTTTTTTGTTGTTATAAAATTGAAGCTTTCTACAGGCAGTGGAACAAAGATTTTCTTTTTTGTGAGCAGGGAGGGAAAGTACGTTGGAGCAGTTTCTCATGGGAGTGGGACTTCTGCTTGCAATAAGGATTTTACACTTTGCTTTGCCTTTTTACCCCTTGCCCTGAAAGCAGTGTAGACACGTCTTCCAGAAAGGCCAGGAATTATATCCTGATCCCTTTCAGTCCATATCCCAGCAGTAGGGTGGGAAATGCAGCATTTGGGAGTTGACTGGAGATATTTAGACAGGAAAAAAAGCAAAATTAATCCAAATCTGCTCCTTGTTCTTATGTCCCAATGAACCTAGATCCTCTATAACATCCCTGTTTGTCTGTTGCAGATGTTGGAGGGAAAAATAAAGCAAGAGCTTTCCTGTTAAGTGCTGTTCACCAATTATTACCCATGCACAGGAGCGTGTGCATGGCAGGAACCCGTGATGGCAGTAACAGGCAGGCTCTACATGGTCTTGTTTTTTTTTTCCCCCCCAGAAAAGCCTCTGTGCTTCCTTGTTTCACAACCTGATTTTTCAGACAGCCTTCCCAACCTCTCCTCTCTTCCCTTTCCCATCCACTCCATGTCCCGAGTGGGTGGCCTGCAGCCATGTCCAGGAGCCATGAGCTGTTCTGACATGTGCTGGCACCAGCCGGGACGGGTGAGCCTGTCGTGGGGACAGATCTCTGGATGTTTCACGTGAGGTGTGTCCTGAGCCTTGGTTTTTTTCCTAACCCACCCTGACAGATCAGGTGTTGGGGTGGGTTTGCTGCCACTGCCTGAGTTAAACATCTTACGGCTGCAGAACCAGGGCTGTCACCGCCACGAAATTAGAGTCACGTCCTTTTAGTGTGGCAGTTGCTGCTCCAGATCCTCGAGCATGGAAGTACGTGGGGGATTCAGCGTTATTGGATCTTGTCCTCTTCATTCAGTGCTGCAATGTGTCACTTCTGTTAATATTTACTTGTTTTTTTTGTGCTGGGAGGGCTGTAAGGTTGAAAGAGGGAGACAGGTTATAGGCATCAAGAGATGGTTTTATGTAAAAATTGAATCCTTGAGGATGTAAACGTATGCAGTGTTGGTTGTAGGCCAGTTCAGCCAATTGTGGTGTAACAACAACTTCTGGAATTTAAACTGGATATAGCTGTGGTCCAGGGGCTCCTCATGGTGGGGCTTTTCTCCCCATTTCATCTTCAGTGCATGGGATGAATGAAAACAGCAGTAGCACATCTTGGTGAAATCCTGCATTCCCCAGCATCTTCTGCACATCACAGACTGGGCAAACTTTCTTAATTTCTTAATTACCACAGAGGTAAAGGGGAGGGCAGTGATTTCAGCTATGTCTTGGCAGGGTTCATGGCACCAGTGTTAACTGTGTTAGAGTTATTCTTTTCAACCTGGATCTTTTTTTTTTTGTCTTCTGGGTATCTTCTTGATAACATGTTTGGATTGCTCTTTTGCTTGTGGACTTGTTTCAGTTTAATTGCACTGTCTCTGGTAGTTGCCATCCTTCTATCAATAGCCTCTCATATATACCGAGAAGTAGAATGTCCATCAAGCTCTCCTATTTCTCCCGGCCCTGAGCGGTACCTCCAAAATCTTCAGCCTGTGCTGGAAACGTTCTGTGATGAGTTCCCTGCCCCAGTGAAGCTTGCTCTTTTGAGTAACTTACAGCCATCGGAAGCTATAAGAAATGTCAGTGTTTCCTGTTAGGGATAATGAATTTCTCATCGAGTCTGTCTCCATTTCATTTTTGGTCTTATGAAGCACGTTTCTCTTGTTTCTTCCCAAGAATGCCAGGACTGGTGGGCAGCAGGTTGCAGACAGAACACTTCTACGCTTCCAGCAAACTGCACAGTCTGTTCTGCTGTGAAAAGCCTTCAGATAGTGACAGACTTCGGAGAACTATCAGAAAAACTCCAGAGTTCTCAGCCTTTTCTAATCAAGGTAATGCATCGATTTGTAAGGCCGGATGATTAATCCAAACTCTTGAATAGCACCAGCCAAAGACCCCTGCCCGGTATTTTCAACCACAAACTCAAATTGCTGATGGAGGTAGAACACATGTCGAAGAAGACATTTATCCCCAGTTTAAAGATGTCAGGGGGTGGGGAGCTCACTGCATCCTGAGCAAGTTGTTCCTGTGACTAATCGCTGTGGTTGGAAGCTTAGCAGTCTATATGGCTGTCACTCTTGGACGTTTGTTGGCCGGGATGGGGATGGGAGCTGGGAGGAACCCTAGGTGCACAGCTTTTATCTTTGTTTTGTATCATTTAAGACAGGGCAGCAGCTCTCCTATGAAGAACTGAAGCATTTTCAGTCCCAGGATCCAGAACTGGCAGAGGTTTTAATAGAAGAAAATTCAGCTGAATTTTGGAGCTGTCCATTTTTCTTTCCCTGGTGAGTGAAATACGAAACGTGTGATAGATGTATACATCCCGTCTGCAAGGCTCTTTGCCTGGGTGAACTGCCAGGAGCTTGCAAGCTGCACTTTAACTGGAGGGAGGGGGAGCAGGAGTGGGTTACAGGCTTCTGTCTGCTTGCCAGCACTGGTTTGATCCAGGGAGAAGACTTCTGCACTAAAAATGGAGTGTTGTGGCTGGGACTTGAGGTATTGCTCCCCTTACAAGACAAAAATATCCCGGTGACTGCTCAGTCCTGTTCCTCGGGCCCTACGTTAATCATCTGGGCTGTGGTCTGATCACCTGAGGTTTATATTTCTGATCACCTCTCTCTGCTCAGGGGAAATCCTCCACCGTGAGTGCTGACTGTGAAGAGATAGCATGACTTTTGCAAAACACTGAGAAGTAACAGAAAGCTAGAGGATCCTGCAATTTGTGTTCGGTCTCACGCAGGAAAAATGGCCAACCCTGACCCCCTGTTAACAGAAAGCTTTTTGCTAAAGCCTTTCGTGTGAACAATTCAGAGCTCTCTGAGGCTGCAGAGCAACCCAGCGTATTAGCAAAGTCTCTTCATGTGGAGAAGGGTGAGAAGTAACGTGGGAAGTTGCCACCTGGTGTGGAGCAGGGTCTCCGGCACATTTGTATGAGCAGAGGAGCAGATTTGGAGAGGCCATGGTGGAGCCCGTGCTTTGGCTGATGCTTAGATGGGATCTTGCTGCATTTCTTGACCGCAGCACCGATGGACGGATGATCAGGGTGCAGAAGGATTAATCATGTCAAGCCACTAGACAGAGATGTAAAAATAACAAGCCGCACCCTGTCTTTTCCAGTTACATTCCCTGGCCTAGAAAATAGACTTGGATTCCCCCCGCCTCGCCATGTGGTTTCAGTTACGGCTGCGTACAATGCCACCTCTTTGCGTCGTTTGTAATTAATGGGTCTGATCAATGAGTCAGATCATTTTAAGGGAAGAGGGGAGGGAAATTAAGTTTAGGCATCCATCATGATCTGCTTGTTCCCTGTTTGCATGGTCCTGCTGCAGATACTAAGAGGACGATACGAAGGAGCACAGGTTTAGATGCTGAGAGGGTGAATTTTGCTCCTAGGGTCTAGTCTGTCATGCTGTTTATCAAGCATGAATATTTGTGAAGAATTTTGATCTTGGAAATTAGCCTTTTAAATGCAAGTGTTATTGTTGCATGATATTTCTTTAATGTGAGCTGTTCTGTTTTGTTTAGGAACAAATCTGTGAATAAAACTCGGATCCTGCAGGAATTTTTCCCCACTTCCTCTTTCCTGTCCTTCCCCAAGACAGTGTCCCTGGAGAGCTGCTTCCTCATCCGCCATCCAGATTTGGGGAATAAGGTGAGAAATTCATTCCAGAGACAGTATCTCCCTGTCTGTGAGTTGTCCCCCACGTCTTAGGGGGACTTGCAGGACATTTTCAGCAGATACAATCCTGACAGAAGGGTTTAGTGTTGTACCGGGTCTGTCCATCCCTGTGTAAGGTGGTGTCTCAAGGTTGCTGTACCGCCCAGAAGCTGTGCCTGGCTTTGTGCGGGTGGTACACTGCATCCGTCTCCCTCGGCTGTTAAAGATGCCCGTGGGGTGTCCCACCTCCGTTCACATTTTTGTCCTGCCCTTACTTTGTAGCTGGCTGAAAAAACGGTCTTTTTGTGCACAGTTGGGCAGAATTCATTTAGCAGTTGCGTTTTAGGAGCTGTTCCTGGCAGTGAGTCTCACCGAGACTCATCTCATTCCGAGATACATACCACGGAGCTGTTTCACTGAAGACAGGGACATTTCAGGCTTCTAGCCTGATCTCCTCTAGTTTTCCTGTGGGCTTTTGTGGGCGTGGATGGCCTGCATGGCCTTGGACAGAAGAGGGGAGGAGAACCCTTGCATGCAGCTGTGATCTGCTGGTAACGGGGGGAGCAGCAAACCTGTGGTCTGCGCTGTCTCACCTTGCCGCAGGGCACTGACTTGCCCCTTGTTTGATCGGACAGACCCAAGAAAAGCCAGCAAGGTTTTTGAAATATTCTCCTCTCTTCCTAGAGCTACAGTTTGCACAACCTCTTTGCTGTTGGGAGCGGACAGCTCACCCTGATGGTGGTACCTCTGGACGAGTGCAGAGGTCACTGTGAGATGTTCAAGGTGGAGCTGGAAGCTGGAGATTTGGGTGAGTACTGGTGCTGTGTCACGCAGGGTCTGGGAGATCCCTTGGAGTCAGGAGACTGCTTCCAGCTGGGTCTTTTCTGTCTGACACCTTAGAAGGTGGTGTCTGCCATTCCTGCCTCCAAACTGGTGTGTTTCTGCCTGTACCAGTACAGAGGAGTGATCCTTCTGGGCTGGGAGTTTGTGGTCTGGAACACAAAGAATGGGACACTATGAGATGCTCAGTTTAAAAAACAAGCAAACAAACAAAACCCCCAAACAAACCTGAGCAGTATGGGCTGCACAAGACACAGCGCTCCAGCGGGTGTTACAAACCCAGCGTGTCAGTGAGGGCAGTGTCTTTCCAAAGAGCTTCTGCATGTCCCCATCACTTCCCAGGAAGCGTCAGCAGTCATTAAACACGGATCCATCTCACACAGCCTCTGTTGCATCTCCCAAAGGTTATGCCAGCGCAGATTACTGGACGATGAGCTTCATGGCCAAAGGGACAGAGCCGGCGGTCGTTTGTGACGGACCTGCTAGCTAAGGACGGTGGGGTGGGACATCAGAGCTGTTTCCAGGACAAGAAGACTTTCAGCTTTGAAGCCAAGGCAACGTCTTAAAAGCAATCGAGCTGGGGTAACTGGGGCAGGCAGCTTTGCCACCCTGCATGTTTACAGTGTTTAAAAATGACTGTTTTCCTGACCTTTGAGGTAATCCTTTGCCTTTCCTCAAATGTATTTTGGGAGAAGCTCAAGCTATTTATGACTTTCCCTGTCCCCTCAGGTAAGCCCTGGGTTTGAAGCAAAGGGTTTTTTTCCAGGAACAACAGAGGGAGTTCTCAGGATGAGATTCACCTTGTGTCCTTTGTGGATTATGGCACTTCTGAAACTTCCTGGGGGGGTTTGGGAGTGGAGGAGGTGTGTGACATTTCCGTGTGCATTCCTCCCGAGGAGGAAGCTTAGAGCCTGTCTTGCCAGGCCAGCTCTATAAAGGGAATGAATCGGTGATGTGTCCCAACTCCTCGCCGTCTCTCCATCACGTTCCTAGCTGTGTGCCTCAGCAGTGTGCCCCACAAAGCCAATCTCAGCTCCGTGCGCCAGGGCTGAGATGAGCCTTTGCAGCCTTGGGGCAGAGACCCTCACCCCCTGCGTCGTTCTTGTACCAAAAGAATCCGTTCAGGCCTCTTCTTCGTGTCTTGTGGTCACTCTTCTGTGGTTCTCTGTCAGCAGGTTGTGAGCAAGTCAAATAGTAACTGTGCTTTTTATTTTTTCTCCACCTTCTTCCCTACAAAAATACCGATGCAAGTTGTAGTGGTGATGGTGCCGAGTGCGATGGTTCTGGATGGAGATGGGCTGGGTGCAGAGCAGCTCTGTAGGAGTTTCATTTTCTGATTGTGCACCTGAGACCCCAGGGCTGCACAACCGTTTCCGTCTGCTCCTTCCTTTGAGAGGTGCCGCCTGCGTTCCCCGCCCAGGGTACCACGGGAGCACCTGAAAGCTTCCTCACCCCTGGCATTTTTTTGCATCGATTCCTTCCAGACCTGAAACTGTCTTCAGAATGAACGTTGGGTTTTTTTCCTGACTCCTTTCCAAGCTGCCTTCGCATGCTTCCTGTTGCTCGAGCTCTGCTTTATCCAGTGCCCTGAGAGAGGCTCGGTTTTGGTGTTTGCAGGCTGCGGATGCTGCGGTCCCTTCCAAGTCTGATCCTCTGGGTCCGATCCTGCTGCTGAAGATCATTTACAGATGTGTCAGGCTGAACTCATAGGGCTGGGGTTCAGGACATACTCTCACAGTTGTTAACATGGAATTGGGAGGGGTTTTGTTTGAAAGCAAGTTAACTCTGTTCTCGGGAGCGAGAACCTTTTCCTCTGTAAATATTTTAGGTACGTGTAGAATGACAGATTGGGAAAATGTCTATCCAGCCTTTTGATTTTGATTAAGACCAGGAGAGTGGGAGCAAACATCGTACCAATCTCGTTAGGGTCCGACAAAAGCTGCCAAGGGGGATGAGCACATCTGGCTCCTGTACAAGGATAAGGCAGAGAACAGTTCCTGCTCCAAAGAATTTAGTCTGAGGCCTTGACACCACAAACATTTCTATGCATAACCCTTGTTTTTCTCCTATAAACAAATAAGAACAACCCCAGCACCCATGTCAGTGTGTGTGCACGGCCCTCGACACTGGACCGACACGCACCAGGTCTGGTAGAACCAAAGGGGGAGAGTCTGACTCTCTCGGGACAGAAAAGGACTAATTTAATTTGTAGCAAAATATTAAAGGGAATTGGATTAATAACGTTTCTGTTAGTATGGTTAATGCTTGGAGTGTGGTTTACATTTGTGACACTATATGCAATCTTGTACGTGCCAAGACACACACACGCCGCCCCCCTCCCTCCTCTGGAAGCCTGGGTCTTAGTTCATGGAAATTCGGGAGTTTGGTGATGGCAGAATTAGGGCCTCGTTAGTGACTGTTGCTATTTACACTTTGGCAGCTTCCCAAGTCCGATTCAAAGGCTGACAAGGTGACTTCACCTCTTACTGGGTTTGTACCTGCTCCGTTTCTGGAAAGCGGTTGGTTTGCCCAGGGAGAGAACCTGCTGGACCCTTGAGTGCTGAGATCGTGGGCGGTTTGGTGATGCCAGTTACTTCTAAGTGTCCTTGAATGTAACTTGTCCAAGAGCTGTGGAGCCAGTTCTCGAGTGTCTGTGAAATGCCTGGATTTTCTGAGCGGCTGTTGTGGCTGCCTGGCTCCTTTGGGAAGAAGCAGAGAAAAGGGATCTGTTTACAGTTGCTGTTTAGTTTGGGGGAAGGGGGCAGGTTTGTGCCTCTTTAGCGAAAGTGCTCTCACATATTGCTTCTCCCCTCCTCAAGGAGTTGCAGCTGGTTGGACAGAAGATGGTGAAGCTGGACTGTTTGCAGATCAGCTTTCCAAGTGCACTTTATGGTCTCTGCATAAGTTTCCAGATCTGTGTCTAAGCGATACATTGCATATGTCCCAGCCTTGCTCCCTTTGGAGTTTACATCATTTGTTTTTAAACTTCCAGTATATTTTCTCTTCCTCTTCTAAAAGCTGTAAGGAATTAGCTGCTAAACTAAAACAGGAGGGCAATTCTCCTGCTGATAAAGAGCCGATTTTGGCCCTCGCCGCTGTCAAGTGCGGAGCCCTGCTCCATAGCACGGCTTCTAGAGCAGCTCCTGTCTTCAGCTGCCGGAGGAGTAGTGCTAACGCCTTCCCCATCACACCACCAGCGAGAAGCCGGGCTGGAAAACTCAGAGGTGTGGCCGAAGTGGCAAAACCAGGATGTTTTGACACCTTGGCCAAATGGCTGCAAGCGAGCCCTGGTTGTTTTTCCTCAGCCAGATCTTCACGGAGCTTTTCCAAAGGGCTTCAGGACGCTGTGGCTTCCCTCGAGAGCCTGGCAGCTCCTGGTGATCTGCTGAGGCTGAACCGGGGGAATGCGGCTGTTTCCTCCGCTGTTGGAGGCACTGCAGCGACAGACGTGATCAGATGAGTCACGGAGGGTGTGTGTCCCATCCTGGTCTCCCTCGCCTCCAGCTCCACTTTGGCGCTTGTGCGTATCCACGTGTATGTGCTGCTTCGGACAATCCCCCCCCTCCCCACCCCGGCCAGCTCGGAGGGGTGCCCAACACCGCGTGCGTCCCAGCTTTATAAAATCTGTGTGCTTCAGAGCTCCTTGCCGATGAGCTGGGAGATGGACCCCTGCTCATCTGATGTCCTGGGGGCTGCAAAGCTGCTCTGAAATCACAGCAGCAACGCGCAGAATTTGTACTGCCCGAGAGCCCGGCGGGCAGAGGTGCAGAGGGGTCATCTCTGTACTGTCAGGCCAGAAAGATGGGCTGTCACCCGTCAGCTGAGCAGGAGGATCGTGGTTTAGAGCTGGTTTCCAAAAGCAGAGGTCACTGACCGTTGCTCTCAGTCAGTCCTGAACTCAGGGTAACCGAAAGGAGGAGAAAGGAGTGTTATTGTGTACTTCAGTACCAGGAAATCAGCATCCCCTACGGCAGCCCAGCTGCTGGTTTCTCTTGATTCTTTTTTTTCTTTCTTTTCATTTTTTTTTCCCTCTTGCCCACTGACATTTTGCACGCACAAATTCCCTCGAGGCGGCTCTGCAGATCCCAGCCTCAAACTCCCTTTGCAATGCCCTGGAGAGCTTTCTAGGGTCGGATTTCGCAGGAGTCTCGAGCCTTTAGCTTCTCCTGCTGGTCCTCGTGCTGTAAGAGCCTGGCAGAGAAGCTGGTTTGACTGGGCTGGATCAAAGCAGCTCCCGTCTCTCGTGGCTGGCCTCCCCAGCTTTCCAGCAGCACGCTTGCCGTACCCTTTCGAGCAGTTCTCGGGAGAACACCCCAAGCGAGACGAGCTGGGGAGCAGGAGAGCATCTCGGTGGAGGTGCCAGCTCTCTGAACGCCAGCATCTCGGAAGGGTGATCCTCCTGCCTTCCAACCCCGCGGTCACATCCGCAACGCTGCTCCAGGGAGGGAATTTTGCAGGATCAGCCCAGTCCCAGGCTCGGTGTCCGCGTTTAGCCCCAGGAGAACCAAGTACTTTGTGGGGTCTGGCCGTTTGGGTGGGTACGCAAAGAGCTTTTGCTTCCTGCAAAACAAACTTTCTCCTCTTGGTAAATTTTAGATATAGAACGATATCTTCTCCTCTTCAGGAAACTCCTTCTTGTAAAGGATAGATTTACTGTCCTGCTGAGTCAAACAAGGGAGATGCTGGACTTCCCCTTGGCTTTGGAGATTCAAACAGATGACAGGTGATTTATTTTTCGCATTATCTCTTTGTCTATGAGAAGGGGAGGCACGTTCTAAAGGCTCAGGGGTGCTGGGAAGTCAAGCTATATATGCATAAAGACTGTTTCAATGCTGAACACTATAAATTCAGTGGTGGATAAAACAAAGAATGTAAATATGCACTTAATGCAGAATTTTATGGATGGTCATAATTTAATATATTGCAAACTTTGTAAATACTTGGGGAAAAAAAGCCTGTAAAGTGTGTAAATAAATGAGATTTGTATGTAAGAAGAATTAAAAAGTTTTTACTTTTTGCAATTAAATCCAAGTGTTAATGCACTTTTTCCCCTTTCCTGATTTATTTTCTTGTTGCATGTCAACCATCGAGGGGTCGTTTCACCTTTTCAGGGCTCTCTTTTTCTAAGTGGAAATGTCATTTGCAGTGCAAAGTCAGAACACTTTTGTTTGGAGAATGTCGAAAGTAACACTTTAGGAGATGTTTTGTGTTTTGTCAGTTTTAGCCTGGTTCCCTAAACAAAGGTGATGCAGCAGCTCTGCCTGTCCCTCCTTTCCTCCCAGTAACAATCTCCATCCTTCCTTCACCATTCAGCTTATTTCAGCCAAAGCAGGAGATGATGGGCTCCTCCAGAGTCCATAAAAACAGGCAAGTGGAGGAGAGAAAGATCCTGCTGCTACCAGGACAACGTATAAGCCTTGTTAGACACCGCAGAAGCCACGCTGGAGACCCTCAAGATGTGAGTCACTAGAAAACCAGATGTTGTTGCTCCTGCAGTGCAGGGTTGTGCCTTTCTGGAGCCCACCGGCCTCGAGCCAAACCCTTTGCACCCCATCAGGTGTCGGCGTGCGGCTCCCGGCTCCTGCGCCGAGGCTCCGGGGCTGCGGTGGACGGGCTGTTCCTGGAGGGAGCAGGAGGGAAGCCGCATTCCTCGTGCGCTTACTTCATGCCGGCTGGACACGAGCTTGTCAGCTCCAGGG